ACTGATGCAAAGACATTAAATAAAGAACAACACAAATATGTGATAACAGACCTAGAATGGGTCAGCTCTCTGAGGAGAAAATCTCAATGTGCATTGAGTGACTGTGGCAGGGGAACCTATTTTAGAGCGGTGGGACTCAGGGAAGCCATCTCTAGTAGATCTATGTGGAGACTTGAACAATACATGGGTGTTGGGCAGGCAAAGAGTTGAGCATCTGAAGGTTCCAGGTAGAGCAGCATGTGGAAAGACCCTCTGTCAGGGCACATGAAGGCTGACGTGGTGGGGGAACAGGGCAGGAAATAGGTACTGTCCAGTGGCTGCACACCCCCAGGGCATTCACCTTTCCAGAGCATGCTGTGGCTTCCTACCGCAGGCTTTGGCTACTGTCCATCTGAGGGCTTCTGTGGCAGAGTCATGCTGTGCAATGCAAGCATTCAGGAACTGCTGGAGAGGAGACAAGAAAGGGGAGGCCCCTGCAAGCAACCATTAGGCAGTGGTGACTCAGTGTGGAGGAGAAATACCCAGCTTCCTCACCGCCCAGGTGGAAACACTCCGAGGCTTGCACGACTGCATCTCCTCACAGTTCCCAGCAGGCCGGAGGCCCAGTTGTCTGCAGGGGTAATGCGCTCACAGACTCACCATGCATTGGTTTCCATTCTTCCTCTTATCACTGTCCCCATCCCTTCCCAGTACTTCTTGGGGGTCACTTCACAAATAAACCACTTGCCCTTGAATTCTTGTCTCCTAGTGTGCCCCAGGGGGAGCCCCATGCAAGCCAGCAAGGGAATAGGAGGCTTAAGAAGGCAGAAATCGAGGCAGAGGGCTGGTGTCCTCACAGTATGGTCCATGGAACTCCGGTGTTGCCTCTGTGATCTTCCAAGGGGTATGAGAACTGTGGGTAAAATTGTAACATTTCCAGAATATCTCGCCTGGCATACTGTTCCTCATGTAATTGTAGATTAATGATACCCCCCAAAAAATAAAGGTTACACACTTAGAAAATGTGGGCGACCTCAGAGAGAGGAGCGGCCTGAAAGGCTGGGGGTTCCCCCTTTTAAGGATTGTTTAGGAATGTGAGTAAGAGCTGGAGATGCAGACTTTTTAACTTCCGGGGCATTAAAATACAATCTTTAAGATGGAATCCTTCCTGCCTTTCACTATGTTGTGTAAGGCTGGGCCTGCATGCTGAATTAGTTGCCTAGGTTACAAACTACTTAATTAGGGCCAGAAGGAGAAAAAAACCAGCACATACAGGTAAAGGTCAAAAAATAAGCTGGGCCTGTATGATGAGCACAATGAAGACATGGGCTGTGCTGAGGGACCCTCCTTTATCTGGGGAATATTCAAACATTCCAGGCCAAGTTGCTCCTGGCTTTTTGAGTTTTAATTGATTAATTTGGGGTCTTTTTAGTGGACTTTCCTGACCTTTTTCTCTTTCCACTCATCAATTTTTCTGCCTAACACTACTTAACCTATTAACACGATTTGTTCTGTCTTGCCTAGAAGCCATAAAACTGCAAATAGTAATAGAAATGGAAACCAAGATAGAAGCACCCACCTTCTGATGCCCTCTCACTGACCACTGATGGAGACCTAACTGCACCCCTTACTGCGCCCCCTCTCAGCGTGAAGCAGCCAGAGCAGTTGTTGCTCCCCTTCCCCTAGCAGCAGTTAGGGTCTCCATCTGTAGATGGGGGAATGAAACAGGGACTTGGGTGTAGTCAGAGCAGGGTGAGGGCCTCTGGAAAAAGCAAAGCAAGATAATTACAGACAGAACAATGTAACAATGTGCAAAGAAGTCCCTATGGAAACTCTGTTAAGCATTATGCAAAGTCAAGGTCACACTAATTCTCTAGGGTAAAGGTACCAGACTAGGAATATAGACATTCTTCAGTGAAATCAGTTAAAGCTCAAAAGGCCAGGAGCAACTTGGCCTGGAATGTTTGAGTGTTTGGAAGTACGGGAAAGGAAATCCAGGGGCAAAATACCTCTAAAAACCGAAATCAGCAAAGGGGGAGATAAAGTTTAAAAACTCATTTATTGCTTACAAAACTGCAGTCTGGCTCATCTCTCTCTCTCCTGCTTCAGCAGCAGCAAAACTGGCCCCCCACCCTCACCGCTCAGGTACAGATAAGCCCTCCTGCCAGGTAATTACCCATTGACATGGAGATTCTCTCTCCACCCCTGAGGAATGATTCAAATGCACTAAAGCTATACTTCTTTCCACCTCTGAATGCCTATTGATATGCAGATGTACTAAAGTCAGGCGAGACATTCAGGAAATGTTATAATTTTACCCACAGTGTTCCACAAATAAAAAAGGGTATCTCATCATAACCTGTGGCTTCACTGTATCTCAACTACACAGCCGTAGCAAACAAACAACCCAGCCCACCTTGGGGGCAGGGCGGTTGGTACAAGTCTGCACCCCAAGCCCTTAGCCACATTCCTGAAAATCCTCAACTGACTGTAAAACCCCCAGACAACGCACCACCACAGACTCTCTTGTCCCCTCCCGGCGTGAGCCAGGAGCTCTGTCCTATCACTGTATCTCTAAATAAAAGCCTCTCCCTGGCTCTCCTACTTTGCGTGTTTGCTAAGTGTAAGATAAATTTCAGTCAAAATAAGCAGGCGAAGAGAGGCAACAAAGGGCAAGGTAGTTTATTTGAGCGCAACTCCCGGGTGACGTTCCGCGGTCTGGGTACTACAGGCCGGGGAAGTCACACCCGGTTGGGGAGGTGGGGGGCTTATAAGGGATTAGGAGGGGGAGGAGTGGGCAAGCTATCCTAGGGGGCGTGGAGAGGTATGATTGGCTAAAGGTGACTATTATAATAGACAACTAGAAACTTTTTTTCCTTCCAAGAGGGAGGAGGCTGACATCCAGGTCTTAGTTGGCACATCAGAAGGATGGAATTCAGGAAGACTGTCCCCTTTCCATATAAGGCATGGACCTTGGGGTCTGGTCTATTCTCCCCCTATGGCATTTCTCTGTTCTGTTTCCATATCCTGTTTCTCCTTCCTCCAGCCTAACAGAAGGAACCTTCCCTAGAACCTTCAGAGGGAATGAGGCTCTAGTGGTACCTTGGTGTGGGTAAAATTGTAATATTTCCAGAGTATCTCACCTGGCTTTAGTGCATCCTCAGGGGTGGAGAGAAGGATGGCTTGAGGGCATCTGCATATCAATAAGATGTTCCTCAGGGGTGGAGGAAAAGTTCATCTCCATATCAGTGGGGAATTACCTGGGCAACCAAGGGCTTATCTGAACCTGAGAGGTTAAGGGGAGGAGCTGGTTTTCCTTTGGCTAGAGCAGGAAGGAGAGACAGCCATGGACTGCAGTTTGTAAGCAATAAACAGATTTTAAACTTTATTTCTCCCTTTGATGGATTTCAGTTTTTGGAGGGATTTTGCTCTGGGATTTCCCCTCCCTGGATTTGCATTTGGTTTTGGACCTTTAGTTCTCCAGAACTGTGAGGAAATAACTTTCTGTTGTAAGTCACCCAGGGTATGTGTTACAGCAGCCATGGGAAACTCATGCATGCCATACGGGAGATCCTTGGAATATTTGGAGGGTTACAGAAAACGGTTGCCATTGTGTGGCGTGCACACACACACACACACACACACACACACACACACACTCTATCGGTGATTTGTTGATTTGCTTTATTGTTCTAAAGCAGCAGCTAGTCCAACAACTGTTTTACATTCCCCTAGACCTTCCTTCAGTGTCTCTGCCTCCTGGGTCAGGTGTGTATGTTTATGTCCATGACTGAAGTCTTTGCAAGATACCTTCATCACCGAGGTGAGAGGTGATACAAGTAGGCACAGGCTTCATTCTATCCCTGTGAGCTTCCACCTTCTGCTTGTGGCTTCCTGCCTACCCTGGAGTACCCCACTTTCCACCCATCTTCTCTTTCCAGGACGCACCCAGAAAGCAGGTCACCTATTTTACAACCAATCACTCTTGTAGACAGAGACAGATGAATTTGTCTTGTTTTGGCTGCCATGAGGTACTTGAAAGAACAAAAAGATTATCTAATCCAACCCACAATTCCCCTGACCCCCAGCAAAAAAAAGATTTCTCCATTTCCCTTGCCCCAGGGGGTAAAAACCTTTATTCTTAAAACCCAAACTTAAAAGGAAAGTAGAGCTGGAAGAGTTTTCAAGGGTTGGAAGGAGATGGAGTCATGCATCTTTCAACAGTATATGTCATGCCCTGTATGACGGGCTGGATGGTGTCTCCTCAAAACCCCCAAGACCTCAGAATATATTTGGAGATAGAGTAATTAAATTAAAATGAGGTCGTTCAAGTGGTCCCAATGCCAATCTGACAGGTGTCCCTTTAAGGAGAGGAGAATAGGACACAGACACACACAGAGTGAAGGCCGTGTGAGGACACAGGGAGCAGACCGCCATCTATCTGCCCAGGAGAGAGACCTCAGAAGAAACCAACCCTGCTAATAACCTGGATCTCAGATTCTAGCCTCCACAACTATGAGAAAGTAAGTTTCTGTTGTGGAAGCCACCCAGTCTGTGCACCTTTGTCATAGCAGCCCCAGCTGACTAATATGTCCTGCTGCACAGGGAGCCCTCTGCAGACACAGACCACCGATCAAGGAGTGGGGTGGGGCTGGAGGCAGCAATTCTGCTTTGAGACTGGGATCCCCATGGTCGAATGTGGAGGAGGATGTTTTATAAATGGAGGAACCTCTTCCTTGGTGGGGATTGTTTCTGATCTCTGATCATAAATGTCTCCATGACAACTACAAATAGATTAAAGAATTTGGGATCCCTTCTCCCAAGTTGCTTCTCTCGATTGCCTATGTCCAAGGGTTCTCTTAGGATCCTAAAGAATGGAAGAGGGGCACCCTAAAACATACCTGTGCTTGGATTTCCTTTCCCCCTCTGGGAGAGGTATGTGCTTATGTGAAGCTTAATTTGATTTAGAAAAAATGAATGTTGCTACCTAGACAAAAGCGTCAAATGCATGAGAGCTAGAATCATGTTACTCTGTTTATTTGTGTTTTCCCCAAGCCTCTATTAAAGTTCCATTTAATGTCACATCTCGTTCATTATGCTACATGGAAATAACACTAACAGGCCAAAGTCTGTCTTTGGGAAGTAAGGAGGCTTCGAGGTCCAAGGCCAGCACAGGGGTGTCCGGGCCATTTGGTTTCGGGAGTTAAGAGTCGGGACTCCAGGACCCAGCTACTCATCCTGACGGGAAGCTGCTTCCTCTTGCTCCTGACCATGGAGTGTCTGAAGTAAAGGGTTCATTCACAGGGGTGCTCGGAGCTTGCACATCACAAAGAAAGAACTGGTCCTTGATTGGCCTGGCACATAACCTCTGAGCCTGATAAAAGTGTCTTTGCAAACCTGGAGCCTTGAGCCCTGCCAGACAATTTATGTTGACAGCACAGCTTATGGTGGATGCCCGTCTTTGTTCACCTGGGACCCTGGGCAATGTTGTATTAGTTTGACCTCTGTGGGGGATGGAAGTATGAGTAGTGAAGGTCAACAGGAGCTCCATGCCTACCCGATAGGCCCCTAGTATCAACCCTGGACACCAAGGCTTTAGTGAGCTTCCCTTGCTGGCAGTACTTAAGATTGTTGCTGGGAGAAGCGAGCGCTGTCCATGTGATTCCACTAAGAGGGGACAATTGGAAGCTCACATCTGGTGTCCTCTGGATCTGCCTTATGTACCTTTCTTTTCTGCCTTTGCTGCTTTTAGTCTGTGTCCTTTACCGCAATAAACCACACACATGAGCATCACAGATTTCCAAGTTCGGTGAGTCCTCTGACAAATCATCAAACCTGAAGGCGGTCTTGGGAACCCCAGCACAGAGGCCATGGCTATTGTTTTATTATGAGAAATAGTGGTTTTCTTTTACCTCATTCAATTCCAGCACTCCTTGAGAAAACAAAGAACATGAGCTGACCCTCACCTGTTGAATCTGACGCTTCCCTTACCCCATTCCCAGGGAAAAATTTCCTCCTGTCTTGCTCACTGCCTTCCCAAGAGTTCACAGCATATGCCCAGGAATGGAGACCTCGAACGTCTTTTTCTTCCTGCTTTCTCCCAGTTTCCCCCAAACCAGCTGGGCAGAACATGTCTGTTCAGCACACGGTCATCAGACAGCGGGACTTCTCCAGGATTCCCTGCCCCTTCCCACTTCTCTGGGCAGCAGAACTGGGCAGCCTTCACATGGCACTCTCGTTGCCTCCCCGGCCCCTGGACGCTCCCTTCTCTTGTGCCATGAGCGACTTGTAGGGCTTCCCCAGGCTGGGGAGGGTGAGCTCGGCTTCCTGCAGCTCCAGCTCCCGCTGGGATAAGTGCTCGATGACGGCTGCCCCAATGGAGTCCCCCAGCACATTGGTCATGGTGCGAAGCCGGTCACTGGGCAGGGGAGGGGAGAGAGAAGCCCCCCGTTAGCTGAGGTTCGAAGAGATCCCAGAGGAGAGGGCGCCACGGGGAGGAGGCTCCTTGTGCCTGGGAGCTGGGGCTGACGTTCCAGTCAAACCCACCTGACCTCTCCCTCTCTCCATTCCCACTCTTCCCTCCTAACACACACAGGGTGGACCAGCTCTGATATGCTCACATTTGATCCTAGCAATGTCATTCTGTTTTTCTGGTAAAGGATATAAATATCTGATACAGGAAAAGAGCGGTTGTGAGCTGAACCGCATATCTGGTGATGACGTCGACCACCATGAGAAAGTCAGGCCAGGCTGGAGACCATCCAAATGGGTCTCAAGTCCAGAGGACAGGTTCCAGATGGGAATGAGAGTCCAGATTTTGTCATGTAAACCTGCCGTGTTTGAAGGTTGAGAGATTTTCTTTAAAATTTGCAATCCATCTCGGTCCCAGGGACCACCTTCCTGGGGCTTCTCCATGACACAGGCCCATGAGGCTTTTCGGGCTCATGGGTAAGGCCCCTATCATGTCTCCCCATCCAGCTCTGCTCCCCAAGGTTAACTCCCTGGGATTTGGGACCCACAGGCCCTAGCCTGCAGCATTCTCCAAGGCCCCCTTTTCACTGTGAAATTCTGGAGCTCTCTGTTCCTTGCTGGAAGGAGGGCTCGTGGGTTGGAGGTCCTGCAGGGAGATCAGAGGGCCCCGGAAAGAGAGCAGGGTGTGAAGAGCACTCACAGGAACCAGTCGACGGCTATGATCAGCGTGATGTCTTCAGTGGGCAGGCCGACCGACGTGAGCACAATGACCATAGTAACCAGGCCCGCCTGGGGGATGCCGGCGGCCCCCACACTGGCGGCCGTCGCCGTGATGCTGCACGTACGGAGAGGACACAGGGAGGCAAGGATAGGGAAGGGAGAGGTGAGGCAGAGAGTAAGACAGCACACAACAGAGGCAAAGGGGTCAGTTCCTCCGGGGCACCTTAAATTCCCAAAAATAAATAGCAAATGCACCGAGTGCCAATGCAGTTAGGCCCGCTGGTCCTTCGGTGGGATCCTGTTGGAAGTCCATCCAGTGATGGCCTTTTGTACGTTTAGACAAAGTGCATTATAGATACAAGAGTAGGTGTTGACCCAGCTCCCTCGGTGGGGCTGGAAGAGGGTGGAAGGATCCACCCGAGCAGCACCTTTGAAGCGGGAGGCTGAGTTTCCTGTGTGCACGTATGCTACACGTGGGTAGGTCAGTTCGGCCAGCTCTAGCTGCTGGAAATGGAACTCTGGAATGCGTGCCAAGTTTAGAGCCAAAAGAAGAGACCATCCATGGTGCTGAGTAAACTGGGGGGAAAATTATATATACATATATATGTAGTTTTGGAAAACTAAAATGAGAAATGTCGGTCCACCATCATGTTCAGGGTCAGACTGGATCAAAAGCAGGCTAGATTTTAGCTCCTGCATCAACTCAGACCACATGCCGTGCTGTGCTAAGAACTGTAAAACCACTGAGCGTACCAGAAAAGGCATCAGTGCCCTGAGGTTGGCGTCCCTCTTTCTGGGGGCCTCTGCAGCCCTTCCCCAAATTCTGTAATCATGATCACTTGGGATATTTAGCCCAGATGATGGCCCTGTCAGGACAATAACTGAGTAGATGCTTAGGTTGATAGACAGAGAATGGACTTTGAGATCCGGTGGGCTCCACTCGTTACATACTCAGAGCCTACGTCTCCTCATCTGTAGACTGGGAAACACATACCTGCCTTTTGGGGTTGCTATGAACAGTAAAAGAACACAGTTCTTCAAAAATGGGGCCTCAAGGAGGTCCTTATTACTATCATCCTAAGTGAGAGGCCCTATCTCCTCCAAATGCTGGCTCTGGATACATAGTGATCTGGGGGTGTCCTTGGGAGGCAGGCAGCACGTTCTCAATGGGATGAGTTAATTTCACCACCATCCACATCATCACCATCATTTGTCTTTATCCCCCTGAGACGACATCATCTTTTTCCCTCATTAGACTGGATTTTCCCTGAGGTCAAGAAACAAGTCTTATTTTTTCCTGCATCCCTGGGTCTCTACACAGAGCCTGCAATATAGAAAGCGCTCAACACGTTTTTGGAATGCTTGCTAAGCTGGAACTCTTGGCAGAGGGGCTGTCCTGAGCTTGCCCCTCCCCACCCTTCTGGCCCCACGTCCTACTCCCCAACGAGCCCCCTAAGCCCCAGCCTGCTGAGCCCTTCTTAGTCCCGTTAAGGCAGTGGTCCTCCAACTTGGATGGGCATCTGAATTTCTTAGAGGTTTGGTTGAAACACAGATAACCGAGCATTACTCTAAAGTTTCTGACTCAGTGGGCTTGTGGGGTGGGGACCTGAGCAATTACATCTTCTAGCAAGTTCCCACTTGAGAAGAATGGCTTTCAGGTGCCATAACCCCTTTTACCCACCTCCTTCCCTTTCACCTGGCCAGCTCCTAGGTCTCCTTCCACATTCAGTCCAGGTATTACCTGCCCGTGAAGGCTTTACTCACTGGCTCTCCTCCCAGGCTGGACCAGGCGTTCCCACCCACGGCACTTTGCTTTCCCAACACAGCACTTAGCAGACTGTGGGAGAATGTTTAGTTCACGCACGGTCTCTCCTAATAGCCCGCAGACTCCTGAGCAGGGTGCACGCCTGTCTCATCTTAAGGTCCTCTGAGTACCAAGCACAGTGCCTGGCAGGTAGGTGCCAAATTAAGGTTTGAATGAGGAAGGTTTGAATAAAGGCAGACCCACACCCACAAAGTTACTGCACAAGTTTGCTTGTCCAAGGAAAGAGAGACGTAAATCAAAAAACAGGACCCTAGGCTTCTATCGGCAGAGGAGACATACTGTCTTCCTCCAAGAGGAAAAAAAATCCGTGCCTAAGAGGAGAGCCTTGGAGAGTTGAGTGCAGAACCTTGCAGCAGCGTTGGCTGAGAAACCGTGCACAGCCCTAAGCCATGGGGAAAATCCCCAACATCATCTTCCCAGGACGCTGCATCTGCTGCGCCAACTGATTTCCTAAGGGACCCAGTGCAGAACCACGAATGTCCTCAGCTCCAGGGATCAAGTCACTACTGCCACAGTAAGTATTTGTGGACTGATTGAGCAAGAGGCCATCCCCCAGTACTTCTGAGATCTGTTTCAGGGGCCATAGGGGGTAAAGAAGCCCTGCGCACGAGCTCCGGGTGCTTTATGCTCACACGAAGGCAGCATGGGGCTCCTGGGTGCAGGGCAGTGAAAGGTAGGGTCTGTGGACCCTTCACCTGGCAAGAGACTCTCAAACACATGGGTTCATGTGGGCAATGGCCAGCTTCAGCAAATGCATCCTGCTCCCCACCACCCTTCACTTCACCCTCCCTCCTTCCGTCCTGTGGTCTGCAGCTACCAACCTGGGCTCGGGAGCTACGCCTCCCGTCTCCGTGCCTTCCCACTATGTGATCTTAGACAAGTAAAGAAACCTGCCTCAATTTCCATTTCCTCCTTTCTAAAACAATAATGATAATATTACCCGATCATGTCATGTGGACTGAGTGAATTTGCACAAGATCGTTTTACAGTCTTGAGTAACTTTGGTCTTTCAACTCACAGTTATCAGACATCTGCTACGTGTTAGACACCTAGTAGAAATTCCCTAGAAGAGAATCCCTGCCCAAACGGGGCCAACATTCTAGTGGGAAGTCAGGCAATAAGCAAGGTAAGTAAAACATATAAGACAGACGGTGCTATGGGGAAATTGTTCCATCCAGATGTGCTATTTTAAATAGAATATTTAGGGAATATTTCCCTGAAAGGTGACACTGGAGGAAAGACCCGAGAGATGGTGTTTGCTGTTATTTCTATGACTACATTGTAACCTCTGGGTGATGAGGTCTAGGAACCCATATTTATGATAAGAATCGCAGGTTATTAGGATGCACCAGCCATGCTTTGGTAAATGCTGGCCACAGAGATCTATCACCACACCAGGAGAGAGAAGACTGAACCAGGACATTTCGCCAGCGCCTGCCGGCCTAGGGTTGCATGCAAAGTCGCGCCTTTTGCCTCATGGGGCATGGCTGACTGGGCTTTTCCCCCGTCCTCCCCATTCCAGGCCTCCCTTGACCTCAAGCAGAGGCTGCCTCCACCCCTAGCCAAGCTAGTGGCAGATCCCACCCAAGACCAGCTCACCTGATGGTTGTGATCTGGCCCAAGTTGAGCTCATAGTTGTTGACTTGGGCAATGAATATGGCAGCCAGGGCCTCATAGAGGGCGGTACCATCCATGTTGACAGTGGCACCCACGGGCAGCACAAACCTGGTGATGCGGCGGTCCACACCCAGGCCCTCCTCCAGGCAGCGAAAGGTGATGGGCAGTGTGGCAGAGCTGAGGGAGAGAGCCCTGGAGGCTGAGAACAGGTTGGCAGGGTGGGGCTGGAGCAGCAGCGGGTCAAAGGAGCAAAGGAGGGCTCCCCTGAGAACACTGGGAGGCCAGGCAGGGGCTGGGGCAAGGGGTGGATGGCAGGTGTATGACATTTCAGAGGCTGGGAAGAAGGCAATGCAAGAAGCACACAGCCATGGGAGACCTCCAGGCTGAAGGTCTCTTGATCCACTTAAAGCCAATAGCTTAAGGCTAATTATTAAATGCCTGTTCATGCCTCTAGTTCACTCTATCTGAAGGGTCTGCTGCCCTCCCACCCCTTAGGGCTAAGAGCGGGGTGTTATAGAGGACCTTAGTCCCCACTGCCCCACTCGGAGAGTGATATTAGCTACACTAACCCTCTTGGCCTCAAACCCACCAACTCCCAGGGGAGAAAGAGTGACATAATAGGTCGGGGAGTTTAGTCCAATGAGTGCATATCTCAGCCAGGACCAGCCTGTCCGCAGAACACGTGCTCCCTCTGGTCAGCTCAGTGCCATGCAGCAAGATGCCTGGGCCCACAGAGAGGGCCTTTGGGTGTCTGGCCCTGTGGCGACCAGGTGAGTTCAATTCGGGGGCACAGCGGCACCAGCACTACTTGGCCACGGATCAAAGGCATGTTCTGCAGTCGGCATTCCGAGGGATGACAATGGTATTTGTCTTCCTCCTGGGCGGCTCCTGCTACTCATCTCAAATTGTGTGGAATTTGGATAATGGGGAGATCTTTATTGACCCCCTAAACCACAAGAAAAGGCAGCTCCTAGAGACTATCTCAAGAAAAAATGAAACCCTCCGGGCTGGAAGATGACAGAAAACGGTGGACATGTTGGAATCTTTGTCCTAACCTCAAAATTGGCAGCTGGTTCTTCTCCATATAAAACAGAGAACCGAGAGAAGGGGTAAAAAGGGTCAGGAGAGGCAACCCAGAACAAAGGCAGCCCGAGGTGTTGAGTCACCTGGAGACGGTCAGGAGCCTCTGACTTTATTGCCCCACTTAGACCAAGTTCTGCAGCGGGAGGCAGGCAGGTCTCCAAGGAGGGCGCGGGAAAGACAAACAGTGAACCTAGAAAGGGTGCCAGTGGTGTGGACAAGGCCTTACCTGGAAGGCCTTACCTGGTGTAGCTAATATCACTCTCCGAGTGGGGCAGTGGGGACTAGGGTCCTCCAGTGGTGTGGACAAGGCCTTACCTGGAAGACGTGCCCATCGCAGTGATGAGGGCCTGCAGCAGGCCCCCGATGAAGGGGAAGGGATTCCGGTGGGTGATGAGGAAGTAGATGAGAGGCAGGACGCCCCCGGCGTGGAGGAACAAGCCCACAATGACGGTCAGAGTGTACATGCCCAGCTGGCCCCCCAGGACAGCCATGTCTTCCATCTCGAGGATTTTCCCGGCAATCAGGAACAGGATGCCCACAGGCGCGTACCTGCGCCAAGCCAGACACCTTTCAGGGCTCCTACATGACCTCCCCTCCCCTGCAAGCCCAGAGCCATCAGCCCAAGGCCCTGCTCTGGAGTCCGGCAGTGCTCACCACGTACTCCACCCGGACCTTCCCCACCCATCAACAACCAGGGCTGGGCCGCACACAAACGTGCCCCCCTCCTCTTCCAGCTCGTCTACAGCTCACTCCCAGACAGCAAAGAAGTTCCTGCAACTCCAGGACAGACGACCTTCACCTTCCTACGTCTCCCCTTCACCTACTTCCCCATTCAAGGCCCTCCAAATAATCACCTTCAAGACCCCTTCCCTAGACATTGCCCAGACACTCCCTACCTCTGGCTTTCTGACCTCCGGTGTTTACCGCCCCCAACTCTTTCGCTGAGGACGTTTTTACTTTAGGAACGTTTATGCCCATTCTCTTTCCTGTAAATGTATATTCTCACTCATTCACGAGCCCTGAGCATGTTCACCTGGATTTCCATTGAACACCTCACCCTGTCTTATCAAATCATGTATTTATTCAGCCACTGAACAGCTAACTACTAAGCACCCACTAGGTTCCAGATGCATGATCCCTGCCCTCACGGCCCTTACCTTCTAAGGGGGAAATGGGCGGTACCCATAGAAATGTGTAGTTAAAAACGTCACGTGGTGATAACTGCCCAAGAGGGTCACTGAGTAGGGCTGCTTAAGCATGAGTGCTCAGGGAAGGCTTTTCTGAAGAGGCGACATTCAAGCTGCGGCCCGATGATAAGGAATCATGTATATCTGAGGGGGAAGCATTGCAGGCGTAGGGCACAGGCCCTGAGAGGAACACGAGCCGGGAGTGTTGAAGGCGCAGAGAGGAACCAGCCGACAGCTTAGCCTGGCTGGTCTCGGCCAGTGGCGCCATCATGCGGCTGTCACCGAGCGTCAACTGCCTCTTCCCCTCTTCAGAAGCTGAAGTCTACCCGTGATCACACTTGGTCATTCTCATTATGGATGGATGGGAAGGATGGGAACCTCTTGGGAAGTTGGTGCAATAGCTTGAGTCAGAAATGGTGAAGCCCGAGCTGAGGCTGTGGTAATGAGGGTGCAGAGGACTTCTCCAGCCACATCTGTATTCCCCAGGCTGGGCCCAGCTTAGGCCAGGGGAGTCATGGCTGAGTGTCTCTACATCTAGTCCTGTGCTTCCCATTCCCAAAACCCTCATCTTTATCCTTCCTGCGCATCCTCGACAAAATTCCTCAGCTCCTGATCCATCATCGCACATGACTCCTTTCCTTTATCAACCTGGCACATCTGGACATCCTACCCAACCCCGCGAATGACACTGCTGTAAATGCATGGTTCCCAAGTCAGGGGAGCCTTCAACACTCCCTGTCAGTCTTGCTTATTATCGATAAGCTCCCCTTCCCATTCCTCTCAGCTGCTTTTCCAAGCTCTAAGCTTGACCTCCTACACAACTTCCTAATTATTTGGGATTATGGACAAAGCCTTCCCCAGTATGATAGCGGACAGTCTTGTTAATGCCTCCCACCACTGCCCCTAACATACCCTATGCTCCCACCCTCTTGAACTCCCCACCATTCTCCAAGCGGCTCAGGTTCTTGCAACCTGCACGTGCTCTTCCCTCTGCTTGAAGTGCCTCTCCCCTCTTCCTGTCCTGCCGGATTCCTACTCACCTGTCAAGGTCCGGCTAAGAAGTGACCTTCTCCACCACTCCCTCCTCACCCTCCCAGGCAGAGTTCATTGCACACCCTTCCACTGGCAGCTCATCTCTCCACATTCCCAATGTTTTCTTAATACCCCTTTCCTACAGAAATTTCCACCTTGTATTACATTTATCTAGTACGTGTCTGTCTTTTCCAAGACTTTGTGAGCTCCTTGGGGATGAGGACTGAATCCATTGTATCTGTGTATCCAGAGTTCAAGACAAAGTAAACCTAGGGAAATGTCTGCTGAATGAGTGAAGGAATCAATGAAGAATGAAGAAATTTAAAGAATGAATGAATGCACATGTCAAGTAAGGAATACTTAGAAAGTGGATAAGTGAGTAAGAAAATGAGCAAATGGCACATGAATGAGTGGGTGGATGAATGAATGAATGAATAAAGGGACTCTTTGGGCAAGTGAGTGAGAGAATAACAAATGCAGAAATGAATAAGTGGATCAAAGAATGCGTTCCAATGAATAAGGGACTTAGTAAGTAAACAAATAATGAATCAGTCAACAGTTCAACTAATGCTTGGATGAGTTCATGAATGTATTTATGAGCGAGTGAATACATGAATATGTGAATTAGCCAGTGCATAGAAAGTGAATAAATTAATGAGGAAATGAGTGGGCCAATGCATGAAGAATGAGTATAAATGAATTCACAAGTGAGTAAATAGATGACCAAGGGCACAAATGAGTGAATAAGGTAATAAGGTAAATTGCAGAAAGGCGTGAATGAATGAGTGGAATGAGCCAATATATATATGAATGGTTTGGCCAAATGGTCCCAATGACTCTTCAACAGCTGCCCCACCGCCTGACTCCCCAGCTCCATCCAAGTGTGCCATCACCACCCAGCCTGTCACAGCCCAGCACTCACCAGATAATGATGCCCACCAGCCTCATAATAGCTTCATTGAGGCTGTCAAAGAAGTCCCGCAGGACGCGGCCCTTGTGTTTCATGCCACCGATGACCAGCCCAAAGGCCACAGAGAAGACCACAAGGCCCAGTGCATTGATGCCATTGGCTGATCCAGGTACTGGCACAGTCTCCTCAAAGCTCAGTACCTCCTGCAGGGTGCCAAAGGCCCACGTGACATTTTCCAGGAGGCTGGTTCCGTTCTCCATTGAGGATGGAGAAGGCATGGAGGTGCCCAGCTCGGATCCGTTCTCTGTCCTCACAACGGTCCTGGTTACCAACCTCGTGCTGTACTGTGTCTTGAACTGAAATATGGAGAGATTGGGGCCACACTCGATTCAGTGGGTGCATCAGACCCTTCTGGAGAAATTTCTTTCAGACATCAATTACTGGTCCCCACAACCTGGCGAGTCTTATTCAGTAGATCTGAATGAGTGAATGAATGATATGACCAATGCATAGAAGAATGAATGAATGAATAAGATGAGGGAGGGAACCAACCACCAATACAGGGGAGAATGAGGACAGGGTCTGCATTTTTCACAAGCTGCTGGACAATGCTCAGATTTTGGGATCTTTGTCCTCAACCACTATGGTCAGAAGACGTAGTTCCTCCTCCAGTACCATCCCCAGGCTGCTCTTGGTCTAAGTCCTTCTCTGTAAGCCTCCATCGGTCATCCCACCAATGGGAAGTACATTCTTTCTCCCAACTCTCCCAAAAGCCCCTTCCCCTTGCTCTGTCAGGCCCTTCTTCCCATCCTCGCCCCTGGCCCATTCATTCAGTAGCAAGCTCCCCCAACCCTCCAAGCCTCCTTGATCAAACTGTGCACCGCCCCCTGACCTGTTTGAAGCAGGCCTCCACAAGGTTGGGTGGAAACATATTTCTGCAGAAAAATATCAGATGAAGGGAAGTGATTAGACCTTGGAAAGGAGTCCAGTGTGATAATAATAATAATAGTAATGGCTACCAATATTTGAGTGGGTACTTCAGGCCAGGCACTGAGCAAAGCACCTTACCCACATGATCCAAACACTACAGTAACTCTAGAGTTAAGTGCTACTGATGACCCCATTTTACCCACGAAGAAACCAGAGCACAGAGAATTTAGCTAAGTTACCCGAAACCACACAGCTGCTAAAGGGTGCAGACGGCCCTCAACTCCAGGTCTGTCTGAGCCCTTTAGTAGGACCCTGTATCACTTCAAGGACTTTCATGCGCACTATGCGAATAACGCCTCAGCGAAAAAACAGGCAACTCTCAAACTCCTTCAAATACAGGTTCCTCCCAAATCAGTGACTAGGGTAGAACTATGGCTAGCCTTGATTCTGGCTAGCAAAATCATTCAAGAGAATCATTCACCCTCCAGTAGAGCCTGGAAATACCCCGGACAAACGCCCAAACTGTTTTAAGCCCATCTCAGGATGCTGTAGTTATAGCCTCATCAGCTGCAGGGTCAACAGGCGATACCCTAGGAGTCAGCTGCTCTTCCAGGATTGGTACAAGGCTCCAAAACAGAGCATGAGTATCAATAATCTAGGTTCGGTCAGGGTGGTGTCTTGTCCGGGCTCGGTCAGCCTGACCCGTTTGTCTCTCCTTGAGTGTGGTTGTTGAACGTAGGGCCAGAATTCCCAGCAAAATCAGAAAGGGCGTCACCTGACCAGGTCCATGAAGGCATCGGCTGTGGGGATGGTCTCGATACGGCCCTCGCGGTGCAGCCCCTCCTTGGAGCCCTTCCCGGGATGGATGATGGTCACCATGAGGATGCCGATGAAGACCGCGATGACGGTGGTCACCATGTAGTAGACAGCTGCCCGCATCCCCATCCGCCCTGTCGCCTTATTATCCAGGGACGCCATGCCTGGAGGACAGGTGGTGCAGCCCCGAGCAGCCCCACCCACACATACCATCCCACCTCCCATCCGTCAGCTCTACCCTCCCCACACTTCCACAACCTTTCCAGCAAGCATGCCCTCCTGCACCCCACCCGAGCACCCACACCACCATCCTTTGACCCCTATCATCATTTTTCAACACCCAATCTATTTTTCACATACATCTTCCACCCCATCCTTTATACGAAGCCCACTCTACTAATCTTCCTTGTACTCCAAGCCAACTTTCAGGCCCTACCCCATCTTTCCCCCTATTTTGCACCCAAATTTCACTTTAATTCCACTCTTCATCCTACTACCCACCCACATCGCTATACACTATCTGCAGTAGATATTTCTGGTGCCCCATCCAAATGCACTTTACCAGGCTAATACACCTATCCTTCAGCTCCTGAGGGTGTTGGCTGCTAATAGCTTATGCTGACCCCTTCTGAGAATTGCCCTCAGCAAAACACGAGCTGCCTTGCCTAGAAATACCTAAATTAGACTTTGGAAAGGAGTCTAGTATGACAATAGTAATAATAACAGCAACAATAACGGCTGTCAACATATGAATGCTTACTCGTGGCCAGGTCCGAGCTAAGTACCTTCACAATATGATCTAAACACTACAGTAACTCTAGAAGTGAGTGCTATTCACGTGCCCATTGTACACACAAAGAAACCAGAAATCTCCAAGGATTTGTGCAAAGGTCCAAAGCAGAAAATTAGTACAAATACTCATTGGTATTTGCACAACCAGAGACTGACACAGGGATTCAAAAGGCCAGCTCCTTGGACTCACGTGGGAGCAGAGTTGGAGGGAATGAGCTTGTCTTCCGCACCCACATCTCTGCTTAACTTCTTTCCTCACTCCACCCCTTCTTCGTGAGTTTCTCTCGAGAGCAATCCCTTGATAAATAGCTTTTTCAAACAACCCCCTTTTGGGCTCTGCTTCAAGGAAACCCAACCCAAGAAACCATTCAAGTCTTTATATTCATCCCTGTCCCTGGATGGTTGGACGTTGGCAATTGACCATCCTGGGGCCAAATCAGGCCCACTGCCTGTTTCTGTAAATGAAGTTTTATTGGAACACAACCATATTTGTTTACATATTAATCTGAAGCTGCTTTTGCACCGCAACAGCAGACTTAAATAGTTGTGATAGAGATCATATGGTCCCTGAAACTGGAAAACGGTTACTGTCTGGCCTTCACAGAAAAAGCCTGCTGACACCTGCATAATCCACCCATACTTCCACCCCACCCACCATCACACCACCTCCATCTCAAACACCTTCAGCTACATCCCACATCTGACCATCTATGCTACATCCTGGCTGCCCTCCCTGGCCGCCCCACCAAAGACTTCCTCTCACCTCTAGATGATACTAAACCCCTGGAAGGCTGCCGTTTACCTCCAAGAAAAAGTGCGGCAAAGTTACTGAGACAGGTAGTGCAGATGATATGGGGTCTGGGACCTGGGTCTGATCAAGTTCGAGGTTTTGGCCAAGGACTCGGGGCTAGGTGCATGCTCCATGTTTGAGGTCCTGAGTTGGGAAGGGGGTCCCATGCTTGGGAAAGCTTCGGCTCCAGGTTTGAGCTTGGGCTCTAGGATGGTCTTGGAGGCCAGCACTGGCCTGGGCTCTCACCTGTGACCAGGCTGGAGACAATAAGTGGCAGTACCAGCATCTGCAGCATCCTCATGAGAAGCTCTCCAGGGAAAGAGAAGTACTTGATCTGGCGGTAGCTGAGCTGGTATGGGCGCAACGCAAAAGCCAGGCTGACCCCTAAGACCAAAAAGAGGGGCCAGTGGAGTGGTTTGGGTCACTCCACCCCAAGCAGGAGCCATCCGTGCCAAGAAGGTGCATGTGGATGACAGTGAGGGAAAGAAACATTCTATGTGTTTTTGTGAACATTGTAGATATGCATGAATTTATGGTTATTGGTGTTGATATGTGTAAATATGTGCAGATGTCTGTACACCTTTGTGTATATGTATGCACGTGACAGTGCTCATTTGTGCACATGTACTGTGCCTGTATGTCTGATCCCCCATGAGATGTATGTTTTCCCTATATGTGTACATAGGTGTTATCTGTGTGTAGATGTTACTGTTTTTGATGTTTTCAAACATGGGAGTATATATATGAGTATTTGAGCCAATGTGTATGCAGAGGAGGGCATGTGCACTTGTAAATGTGTAAGTTCTAGTATATGTGTGCAAGTATATGCATGTGTTTACACCTGTAGGTTTTGTGCGTGCATAAGAACGTGTTCATGTTTACATGTGTGTTCATATGCAGGACGTGTGTTTGCACAGCGTATAATACGCGTACCCATGGATATACATGCGCCACTGTCTGCACACGCAGCCGAGTTTGTGAGTGGGCACCCATTTGTGTGAGTGCATCCTTATGAGGGAGAAACGGGTAGATGGTGGGACGTGTGCGCGCGTACAGAAAAAAGATGGGAGTGCCTGGAATTTTCCTGAAGGCCCCGCCCTCCAGAGGGCGGAGCCAGATCCTCCCAGCCCGCTCACCGATGATCACTGCGCTGACAGTCAGCAGGATGAAGGCGTTCCGACGCAGGAAGCGCAGCACATGCTCGCGCGTCATGGTCTGCAGGCGCAGGCGCGTGCGCAGCGCTCTCTGCTGCAGACTCTCCTGCAGCCGCTGCAGCCAGCCTACCCGGCCCAGCCCCTGGCCGCTCTCCCGCAGAAACAGGCTGTTTCCGTGGCTGCTCATCTTCTATCTGCGGGGGACAGAGAGGCCCTGGCCCGGTGAGGGGAGACACAGAGGGCAAATACGGACAGAAGGGGAAGCACGGAGAGTAGAGGAAGCTGGTGAGGAACTCAGAGAAAATCCAGCCAGTGAGGGAGGGGTGATATTCATCAGTTGGGATGTGCCCGCGCTGGGACACCTGAGAACACTGCCTGGGGTTCCCAGGTCACATTCTGGAAGAAAAGGGTCAAAGTCTCCAGAATCCCTCTGGGCAGCGGCTGGGAAGAAGCTGGAAAGGGCCCCACAGTGCAATGGACGCTTTTGCCATTCCCCGACTCCAGGACCTTCCTTATTTCTTGAGATCATCACAGATAATTGGGAGCTGCCCCAGCTCCCAAAACAAACGAACAAGCCTTTGCTGAGTGTCAACTGCCTACAGAGCTCTAGATAAGGCACCCTGGGGCTAGCCCCCAAATAAACACAGGTTTGGTGTCTGGCCTGGGAGTGCCGACAATCAACAGGTGCCTGGCAGTGGGTGCCCAATAAATGCAGCTGCTCTGTGTGAGTGCACAGGTGAGCAATAGGAAAGGAAGGTGTCCCTTGGCAAGGAAATGGTGACAATCCTTGACCTGGGTGGCTCTTTCGGGTCCATCTTTGAAGGGAAATGTGATGTTCAGAGTCACTCTAGGGAGCCAGGCACTTTTTCCCAAACTTCAGACTTTCACCCCTTTACCTTCGGCCATATCCATGTAACCTTATTTCAGATCAAATGGAAATTTCAGATCATTACCTGAAATGCAAATTATATTTTAATACACATTAAAGAAAATGCAAAGAAAATTTAAAACCTGCCTATGCTTTTACCAGCTAAACATTTGTGTGTGTGTGTGTGTCTGTGTTTACATGTATACAGCAGCTTGGAAATACGACTTTCATGGGCCTGAGGGACTTTTGCCTTTTGTAGTCTCCTTCCTCCATTAAAAAATATATTTAAATTATATTTTACAACTGCATTGGTATAAAAATGAACATACTATTTTGGATCTAGATAGAGGTGATTGTTGCATAATCATCACTAAATGTCACTAAATGCCACCTTAAAATGGTTTTCTGTGAAGTGAATTTCACCTGATACTATATATTAAATCATTTTTTTTTACTTAAAAATGTAATTATTTCTTCTGATTTTAAAATAAGTGGGAACATTACTGTGGGTGTCTAAAAGAATGGTGGGCCCTGGAAAGTGGGTCTCCTATGCCTGAAGGATAAGCAGCCTTCCTGATCTCACAGCAAAAAAGTGGCAGTGTGCCTACTGCAGGCATACTGGGAATTCTGAAATCCCTATAGATTCACTCCCAGGCAAAAGGCTGACTCCTAAAGGTGGTATTGCCTAAGCTTCTTGCCATTGGCTCCACTTTTGGTCTGGCCAAGGGAATGAGGTAGAACGGAAGGTAGAAGGAGATGAAGATGGAGTTTTTATTCTCCCAGCTCTCCCTACCAGGCCCTGTTTGGCAGTGGCTGTGTTCCTCTAACCTAAGGCCACAGTTCCCAGCAGACAATCCTCTCAATCTGTTGGCCATTTGGGAATCTTCTTTGGCAAAATGTCTGTGTAGCTCCTCTGTCCATTTTTTTTAAGGGGATTGCTTGTTTTTTGTGTGTATTATTGAGTTGTATGAGTTCTTTTTATATGTTGGACACTAACCCCTTATCTGACATGTGGTTTACACAATTTTTCTCCCATTCTGCTGGTTGCCTTTTCATTCTGTTAATCATTTCCTTTGCTGTGCAGAAGCTTGTTAGTTTGATGTGGTCCCACTTGTTGATTTTTGCTTTTGTTGTTTGTGCTTTTGGTGTCACATCCAAAAAATGATTGCCAAGACCAATGTCAAGGTGCTTCCTCCCTCCGTTTTCTTCTAAGAGTTTTATCATAGCAGGTCTTGGAAGTAGTGTGAGGTGGGGGTCTAATTTCATTTTTCTGCATGTGTTTACCTGGTTTTCCTAACACCATTTGTTAAGGAGACTATCCTTTCCCCATTGGGTGTTCTTGACTCCCTTGATGTAATAGAGGTACTACCACTACAACAGCAATCACATTACAATATATATCAAAACAATATGGTGTACACCTTTAATGTACAGTGTTACACATCAAATATAGTTCAGTTTTTTAAAAAGACAATCCTCTGTTACAGCCACGGTCCTCCCTGGGTCCCTCTCCCGCTCCCTCCCTGAGGCTCCCCACTCTGAGGGTCCCTAAGTGCTACACCCACCTGACTGCTTTCCCTTAACTCTGCTCATATCTTTGTAAACAGTGCTTAACTTAAACTCTTTCCAGTCCCCCCTTTTCAGTGTGCTGTTTCCTGACAGATATGCCAGATCCTTCTGACTCTTAGAAAAACACTCTCCTAGCAAAGGAAGACAGTAAAAGACTGTGTTGAACTCTGTGTGCGTTTGGTTTGCCTGAGTTGCTGCACCTGTAAGTGGAACTTGCCCAGCACCTCTCTGAGGGATCCTAGCTTCAGAGACCTGTCCCTGCCCCCCCAGCCCATCCCAGTGCTGGAATCTATCCGGATCGTGGCGGGGAGTGTGTCAGAGGCCTCATCTGCACTAGTAGGTAGGTAGGTCCCTGGACTTTGTTCTGTTTTGCTTCTGCTGGCTGAGTAGCTACATTTCTGGGGTCACAGTCTTCCTCGCCCTCCTTGATTGCCCCATACCCAAGGGATGGGACATCTGCCTCAGCTTTCCAGGCCCTGCTTCCTCCGGGTCTAACCCCCATTCCCAATGCCAAACCCCAGTTGGGGTCCTGCTCCAAGTGAGATCCACCACTTTGAAACCACTATGTGGCTTCTCACCTTGCTGTGAAAATCCCATAAAGGACCCCAGACTACCCAGGAAATTCATAATTCCTTGCTCTTCTCCAGGCTGTGCCTCCCCAGTCACCAAACAGGAGTGCAAAGTTGGCTGTGGGTCCCAAGGGAGCTCAGCAGAGATCCGAACTAGTCACAAAAAAGTCCAGAGCTAGTTTGTCTCTTTCCTTCCTCTTCCTTACAAGAAGTACAAACAATAGTTCAGGGCCAAATCTGGCCCACTGCTTGTGTTTGTAAATAAAGTTTTATTAGCAAACAGACACACTCATTCCTTACATATTGTCTATGGCTACTATTGTGCTACAAGGGCTGAGTTGAGTTGTTAGGACAGAGAGAATGTGGGCCACCATACAGTCTCTCTCGCCCTTAACTGAACAGATCTGCTGACCCCAGCCTAGAGGCAGAGCATACCTGAACTTTTTATTTGCAACCCCTCTCCATCTGGCAGGAACTGGCTTAAATGGCCCAATTCATATGATGCTTAGAACAGCATTTTATGAGCAGAAAATAGACGGTTTGTAGAGAGCAGAAACCCAACAGATATGCTTAAGGATAGGAAAAAAGTGCCAGACCTGGGGTTCTCTCTCTACCAGTCTCTCCTGGTGCTAGGTACTTTGCTGGCCCCGCTTCTTAGGCTTCCTGCTTGGAAAATGGCATTTTTAGTGTCCCCAGTCTCTGCAGGGGGTTCAAGGATAGGTCTCCCAGCCTCCAGATCCAGGTGTGAAGAGATGTGCCAGCCACCCCTCCCTCGGAGCCAAAGGGAAAAAGGACCAGCCTTTTACATCACAAAGCTGCAGGGAGCATCGACGGGCAAACCTAGAATGCTTCCCGTTCGTTTTATCTCCAGTCACTGCGAGGCATGAGCGAGGGTAGGGAAAGGAAATCAAACACGTCACACATCACACACACCGCAACACAGAACCTCACAGGTGTCTTACGTGCTCTGGACACACACACAACTGCACACAGACAACACAGTCAACACGTGACTGTTCGGACATACAACCCCACACACACCTTCGGGGGCCCTACACAACTCTCCTTCCTAAATAAACTTCACACCGCCAGCGACAATTCCTACACAAACCCACACAACGTGGGAACACAAGGCACAAACTCCACACATTCAGATTCCCTCCCACGTTTAAGCATTTAGCCCCACACACCTCTTTGCCAAGGCAAGCCCACTCATACATTCAGACTCACGCAGGCACACACCACCGCCACCCACCCCACAAAGCTTCACACCCAGGCCTCTGCGGCGGCGGCCGGAGTCTCGGTCCCGGGCAGGTCCATCCGGAGTTGGAGAATAAACACCCTGATAGGGAAGGGAACCCAGCCCTGGAAAGGCATCAGGCATCAGGCACCGGGAGGGAAGCCTGCCACGAGTCCAGGCCGCGGAGTCAGGACAGGGATGGGGGGAAACAGATGCGCAGGGATACCCCGGGACAGCTAAGGCGGTAGGCAAGTCACCACGGCGCCGGGAGACGGGCAGAGGCCACCACGCTCAGAGGCAGGGAGGAGCTGAGACACGGCGCGGCCCGAGAAATGGGAGTGTGGGCGCAGGGGGCGCCCCTCACGCCCGACCCCAGGGCAGGCCAGCCCAGCCGGCCTCGGATCCCTCCTGCTGCAGCCCCAGCAGCCCCGAGCGGCCCCCACTCACCCGCGCCCGGAGCGGCGGGGCGGCCTGCCCGCGCCTCTGCCTGCACGCTGCGCCCGGATCAGGGGCACGAGGCCGGCGACGAGCCGGCCGGAGCAGCGGGGACCCGCCGGGGACGGCGCTACGCTGGCGCGCGGACCGGACAGCGGAGGAACCTGTGCGGACCCGGGACCGCTGTGCAGAGGGTGGGATGCGGGCCGGCCCCGCGCTCACGTGGGTGTGGGGGGCGAGCGGCGGGGGAGGGGGCGGGATCCCCTCCGGGATGCCCCCAGCCTCGCCCGCGCCTCCCCGGCTCTGCACCGCGCCTGGGAAGAGCACCGCGTGCTCGGCGAGGGAGGGGGACCCTGGGGCGGGGCGGAGGGGTGGCCTCTCCCGCGTCCAGCCTCCGCCCCCGGTTCGGAGCCGCGCCCCCGAGCCCCAGGCCGCCCTCCGCAGCCTCCCGAGCCCTCCCGAGGCCTGATTATCCCTGGAGAGCTCGGGGAGCAGGACCTGGCTCCACCGGGAAAGTCGAGGGAGGGAGCGTCTGGGTGTCAGCGGCCACCGCGTGGGCCCCGCTGCCCTGCTGTTCCCTTGGGAAGCACATTCCGGCCTTGGCCACTTGGCCCCTGTGTGAGCTTGGGCCAGCCCTGCCCCTTCTCTGAGCAGCCTGGGCTCCTCATTTTAGACAGCGGGGCTCACGCATCTCTGCCCACACCCGACAGAAAATTAAAGCTCTTGAGCGTAGAAATGCTTCGAGCAGAGTGACGCGCAGTGCAAATGGGAACTGCATAATGGCTGTGGAATTGTAATTCCTGTTATTCTTTGCTGTCTTTCAGAACCCCGGGCGACGTGGTTCCTTGCGTTTCTTCTCAGATAGCACCGATTTCGTCGTTTCCAACATCTCCCCCCTCTCCTGAAAGCTAATTACCATTTCACAGGTTCCAACATTTTCCTCTTCCCCTTTTATACTTTTGTTAGCATAAACGACCCCCTTATTCATGCTGTATTACCAAGTTGTAGTAACTACAGTTTTCTTTTAATGCTTTTTTCCTTTAACCCTTATGCAATAGTCTAAGAACTATTCTAAGTGAGCTGTCATTTTTAAAGAGCTGAGCCCGGAGCACAGCGCCTAACGAAAGACCAGTTTACGTGTTCACTATTGTTGCAGTTACCCAGCAATTGTTGATGGCAACTTCCTAGCCTCGGCAGGCTTTTTTACTTATATTTAACCTAAATAAATACCCCTGTAAAGTAAATATCACTGACCCCATGTGCAGATGATGGGACAAGTGCTCAGAGGGGTTCAGTAACTCGCCCAAGGTCACACAGCCAGGCAGCAGCCACCTCCATTCTAATTCTTTGTACACAGAGCCAGGATTCTCCTCTCTGACAGACGCTCCTGACAGACAGTCGTTCTCAAATGTAGCTGTCCCTTGGAATCACCAGGGGACCTTTAAACTCTGGTACCCAGATGGCACTGCAACCAATCCCATCAGCATCCCTGGGGCATTTTAATGCTCCCCAAGTGATTTCAATGTGTGGCTAAGGTTGAACCCCTGCCCCAGCGGTCGGGTGTTCCTGGGCTGCACCTGCCACTCCTCCCTCAGAGGATGGTTCTGCCTCCTTCCCCGAGCCTAGAGCGGCCCGAAGCTCCTGGCCCTTTGCAGGCATTCACTCCACAGATATTATTGTGGGTGCACCAGGCTATGCCAGAGACTGGAGACTCAGCAGGAAAAAAAAGACAGAACACCTCTTGCTCTTTTGAAAAAATAATAAGTTAAAAAATAGTTCTCGAACTATTTGGCCTCAGAACCTCTTTACACTTTTAAAAATTTGACAGGATTTCTCCCCAAAGCCACAACCCCAGTCTAATCACGATAAAAAAAAAAAATCAGACAAATTCCAAAAGGGAGGCATCCTACAATATATAGGACCAGTATTCATCAAAACTGGCCAGTCATCAAAAAAAAAAAGGCAAATCTGAGGAGCTGGCTCAGCACAGAGGAGACCAATGTAACATGGGGTCCTGCAGGGCCTTCTGGAAGAAAAAGGGTAATAGGAGAAACTGAGGAAATCTGAATGTAGTGTGGATTTTGATAGTATAATAATTATGTGAGTATTAATATATTTCTTACAATAATATAATTGTATTAGAATATATAGTAATATATTACATATAATATATATGGTGATATATAATATGATTATATGGTACATAGTAGTAATACAATAATTATATGACAAAAATGTATCGATATTAGCTCATCAATTGAAACCAATGTATCACATTAATGGAAGATCTTAATAATAGGGGAAATTATTGGAAGGAGGGATATGGAAACACTGTGTACTAGCTTTTCAATTTTTCTGGCAATATAAAACTGCCCTAAGACTTTGTATCTGTTGATTAAGAAGATCATGGAGGATTCTGAAAAGTTTTCATCCATCTAAGTTATACCTATTGATCTTCAGTCTTAAAGACTGGTATTAGAAATTTAACTGTAGAAAATAACTGTAATTCACTGGGTTCCTGTGGGGGCTTCTTAATCTAAGAATTTAATCTAAGGTTAACTGTGAAAAATAAGTATTAGAAATCAAAACAAAATTTTTAAATATTTATCCATTTTAACATAACAATAAGCCACATTAACATAAACAGCATTTTTATTTATATTCATCTTATCCTTTGTAAATAGCATATTTTTATGAAAAACAACTAGATTTTCCAAAGTAAAAAAAAATTAGGAGATTGGTGATGTTTAACACTTTTGCAAATTGCTTTAATGTCTGTCTTAACAAAAAGAAAGTTGGATTCTCCTAACAGTTATTCCTCATTATGTGCAGATTCCATATTTACAAAATCCGCTACTCACTAAAATTTATTTGTAACCCCCAAATCAATACTCATGGGGCTTTTACAGTCCTTAGTGGACATGCGCAGCATGGAGAAAAATTTGAACTGCCAACATGTGAGTTCCCAGCTGAGGTCAAGCAAGGCAATGTTTGCTTCGCATCTTGTTCCTTGAAATTTCTTGAAACTTCTTGTTTCAGCTGTCCTGCTGTAAAATAATGCATGTAAAATAATGTCCTTTTCACAATCTATTTAGTGCCCTGTTTTTCACATTTTCATGCTTTTTGTTGGTTTTGCTGTTTAAACCGGCCCCAGGCATAGCGCTGAAGTGCTGTCTTAGTTCTTAGCGTCTTTTAGCACTAAGAAAGCTGTGATGTAAAAAAAAAAAAGAAAAGAAAAGAAAAGAAAGCTGTAATGTGCCTCAGGGAGGAAAGTTGTGTGTTAGGTAAGCATCGTTCAGGCATGAGTTACAGTGCTATTGGCTGTGAATTCAATGTTAATGAATCAATGATATATATTAAATAAGATGTCTTTAAGCAGAAACACACATAAAACCAGAGTTAGGTATTGATTGGTTGGTCATTGGTTAACAAAAAGTTGTGAACAAAGGCTCACAGGAGCTTAAACCAGTATATGTCCTCAGGAGCCATGGCTTAGCATTTGTTAATTCAGTGTTTGCAGCAACTTTAAGGGCCAGACATCATGAAGAATGAGAATTGAGTGTATCAAATTTTCTGGATAGAATTTGTCATGATGTGTTCAATTTTGGTTGAAGTATATGATGAGAAGTCAACCTCACACGGACATGTACTTGGAAAAAGGAAGAGTATTTTAATCAGCTTTTCAGGTAATTGTGGCTGTTCTTTGAGGCTATCCCAAAACTCAACATGTTCAAGTTTTTTAAAAGATATTTGCAGTGTGGGATCGGAAATTATCAGTGAACTTTTTGTTCTCTATTAATGTGAAAATCCACTGGGTACATGAGTCTTTTACCATGACTTTGAAACATTATGCACTAATCATTAGAAAAATATTAGTTCACTGAATTACACAGATCTTCCAAATACTAACATACTTCATTATTCAACATCCAAGAGTCACATTTGTTAGTATGACCACCGAGTTCATTCAGAACGTCTCTAAATGATGGGAAGCTGTCAAGGTCATAGGGGTGAATGCAGGTTTTTAAAATTCTAGCTTTCACCTTAAAGTTCAAATATTTCTATGCCAACAGATAGTATCTGCAATAATTAGGGTGAGGATTTAACCATGTGTGTAGCTGTTGAATCATGGTGTTGTATATTTGAAACCAATATAATGTATATCAACTATACTTCAATAAAAAATACACTTTAAAAAAAGTTCAATTATTATCATCTTGACAGCAAATACTATCAGTTGTTTTCCTTGAAGAGACAGGCCCATTTCTTTCATTTTTGTGAAAATGTCTACCAGATATCCATGTCAGCACAACCAAGGTTTGTGTATCTAAAAATGGATATAAAAAGTGGCTAGTTTAGCTTGCAACTCAAGCAATGACACAGTGGTTTTTTTCCTGGAAATAGCTACCATAGTGCTTCAGCATGCAGCAAAAATGTTTTTCGCTTATGTTCCAACATACAGAATATTAAAAAGACATGATTTTGGAAGCCACTTTGGAAGATTGTGTAGCCAATCTGAAAAGGCTACATACCATATGATTCCAGCGATATGATATTCTGGAAAGGCAAAACTATGGAGTCAGTAATTAGATGAGTGGTTGCTAGAGGTTATAGCGGGGAGGGATGACAAGGTGGAGCACAGAGGACTTTTAGGGCAATGAGATTGCGGTGTATGACACTAATGATGGATACATGCCCTTATGCATTTGTCCAAACGCAAAGAGAATACAACACCAAGAGTGAACTCGAACTTGAAGTGTGGACTTCAGATGATAATGATGTGTCAAACAGATTCATTGATTGTAACAAATGCACCCCTCTGGTGGGGGATGGTGGTTTGGGGGAAGGCTATACATATGGGGGGCGGGGCAAGGGCATAAGGAAAATCTCTGTACCTTCCAGTCAGTTTCACTGCAAACCTCAAATTGCTCTATAAAAATTAAGTCTCAGAGTTCTCTTGTCCCCTCCTGGCGCGAGCCAGGAGCTCTGACCTCTTACTGTATCTCTCACTAAAGCCTCTCCCTGGCTCCTCTACCTTGGGTGTTTGCTAAGTTCATTCTTCAACTCTGCAAACAAGATCCCCGGCATCATCTTTGGGGGCTCGTCCGGGATAACTTCAGAGGTGAGTATAGGCATCCAAGCCTGCCTTTTCTTTCA